CCTTTGTCCCATAATTATCAAACCCGTTTAGCATGTAGCTTGAACTACTATACTCCAAAACTGAATCTTACACTCAACCAACACAGTTTTAAATACTCTGCAACAAAACATTGGAACTCTTTGCCTGATGCATTTAAAACCATCACTAAGAAACATACATGTATATTCAAAGCAAAATTAAAAAACTATCTCTTAAAAATTTGATTTGTAATATTTTTTCTCTTTCTCTCTTTATTTGGAGATTTGTGTGATTAAACTATGAAATTATCAGTTTGCAATTTTATGCAAATTGGATAGATTCGCATATGTAAATATTATTTCTTACGGGTTACGGACTCGACTAGTTCTGATGAACTATATCTGTAATCCCCACCAAAAAAAAAGAAAAGTTATCTAAGTAGAATTCGTTATTTATTTATTTATTTATTTATTTATTTATTTATTTATTTATTTATTTATTTATTTATTTATTTATTTATTTATTTATTTATTTATTTATATGTATTTACTACCTGTGCAACTTCTACCTTTACCGTTGTTTTTTTCTTGTTTTTTTTTGGTGAAATAAATTTCATTCATTCATTTCAATACATACACAGCTCCGTTATTCATGGTTATAATTCACGAACAACACTATGATATTCAGCAATCTGATAGATCATTAGTAGTTTAATTAAGGTAGAGATGCAGTTTACCTGACAGGTATTTTAATGAGTTAATTAGGAAACCAAGATGATCTCCCCTGTCCACAAAACTATATATTTTCGGAAAGCTTATTGTATGAATTTTAAAATTTTGTTAGTATTTTGTTTTATGGACACTGTAGTTTGAGATATGCACAAAAAAGTGCTTTTTGGTCAAAAGTCATTTTTAAAAGAATTAGCTTCTAAACCATGCTTCTGTTTCCTGTCAAAATTGATTTATGGGTACATCTGTTTACTATGAAAAAAGTGCCGTCTTGAAAACTGTCTACCAGCTCAAATTTCACTACTTCAAGTTTATGCATAAATTAACACCCAGGCTAGTTGTCTGTACAATTGTTGTAACACTGTTCAACCAAAAACAATGCCCCGACGGCGTTTTGAAGATAAACACATCGTCAATCATTTGTGAAAATTTCAAAACAAAAGGTCAAAGCGTATAGGAGCTATTTTTTTAAAGTTCTGGAATGTGCACTAAAAAGAAGCTGAGATAATTGCTAATTTGCATAACAATTCACTCAGTAAGAAGTTTGCTAATGCTCATAATTAAAATGGCTGTAACAGTCCCAAATTTAAATGTATTATCGTTTTGTTAAAAGTTAAATATAGTACATAATATGGAGATCCCGTCATTACTTTTTTTCACCATGTTTCTTTTTTTTATTATTTATGTACAGCCTTGCTAAATCTTGCTAAGCGTTCAAAAGGGAGAATGTTTGCACCTGTTATCTATATTTAAAAATCGTTTTTTGAGTATGTTCCACTATTCACAATTCTACAAAATTTTAACAGTCTATAGCCAAGACTGTTTGGATAATAAAAAGCAAAAACAAAAATTCACTCTCAAGTGCCCACGAACCTGCATCTCTACCTTGAACTAGACTTGCGGAACAAATTGAGTTATACTAACAAATTGCCATTTATTTATACAATCACAAATTTAACTTTTGTGTTACTTTGCAGCTGTGTGTAATAAGATAATGAAGAATGTAGAAAACACGCTGAAGTGACTAGCCAAGCTTTGCTTCAAGACTTTGCATGTGGGTGCACAGACTATGGATTCTTCTTCGTATCAACTAGTTGTAAATGTAGCTATTTCATCTATTCAAGTATTAAACGTAAACGTTTCATTAGTGAATGTGCTTACAAGTTCTTTAACAGTTAATATAACGAATAACACTCAATTAATTATTGAGTTTCTCGCAATTTAGAAGTATTTATGCTAACATAATTTTCACTTAGGGGATAAAAGTTTGCACAGTTCCCATTACTGGGTGATAAGAGGAGAAAGACTAGACGAGATGTGCGCAATAATCCCCGTCCGAGCCCATTTATGCTAACATAATTTTCACTTAGGGGATAAAAGTTTGCGCAGTTCCCATTACTGGGTGATAAAAGGAGATAGACGAGATGTGCGCAATAATCTCCGTCCGAGCCCATTCGTCAGAAAATAATGAACAGTGTGTATTGCTTTATTTTATATATATTACTTTGAGCTGTGGACAAATTACAAAATACAAGTGTTACAGTAGTGGTAGCTTGAAAGGAAACAAATCCACGAGAGACACTTGTATGTCTGTTACGTGAAGAACGTTCACTAGAAAACGACACGTGCTCAATTCTCCTAACGAAGATAACCAGTTCTTAAGGTGAACAAATTATCAGTGGCGGATCCAGAGGGGGGCCAGGGGTGCCATGGCCCCCCAAACGCATAACGATTCATATCATCTGGATTACACATAGCTTCTCTGCGATTTTCGCTCCGTATATCTTAAGCGAAGCTTGTCCCCCAATACATTTTGCTGGATCCGCCACTGCAAATTATGGTGGGTTTGCCCAATCTTCCTTGCCCTTGGTCCGTAGAATGTAAAGAACTTTTTTTATATATTTTCCTGGCAACACATACATAAAAATGTGGCTTGTCTTCCGTACCCCACGAGAAAGATATAGCGTGATGAGATAAACGACGGATCAGCTGGTGGAAGATACTGTCTGACTGTAGTAGCCAAACTGATTGTTGATGATTACAATCTCTGGTCAGAGCACCTTACTAGAAAGCAGCATATAAGTACTAAACACCATTCATATAAGTCTATGACCAAGTGAATCTGTGACGTCAAAATGACGTAGATGGGTAAAAGCAATATCGTTCAAACCGACAATTGTGTTTGGCTTGTTTAGTCTTTCGTCATAAAAACATAATATCAACGCGTTGAGTGGTGTTCGTGTCAACACTTATAAATTACGTCTAGAAGCGCTTCACCACTAGAGGACAAATCTTACAAAGAAGGTGAACTAATTCTACGAGACCTTAACGCGATTTGGGAGGTGACCTACATCAGATGAAGTTTCTTGTATCAATAACTGTGTAAGAAAATCTTTATATCAAACCAGTCGGAAAAAGTGAATAATTCATTAACTTATTGATCGTGGTCAGATACAGATAAATATAAAAAAATCAAATATCCACGTAGCATAGGTTTTTGCAAAGAAAGTTTGAGTAACGTATATGTTCTTGGAAAGATGTTTTGGGTAATGTATAGGTTTTTGAAAAAAAGTTCGAGTAACGTAAAGGTTTTTTAAAAAAAAAGTTTGGGTAATTATAGTTTCATGAAAAGTGGGTCTGAATACTGTGTAGTTTCTTGGAAAGTAAGTTTGGGTAATGTATAGGTTCTTGGAAAGTAAGTTTGGGTAATGTATAGGTTCTTGGAAAGAAAGTTTGGGTAATTTATAGGTTCTTCAGAAAAGAATTTTGGGTATTGTATGGGTTCTTGGAAAGTAAGTTTGGGTAATTATAAGTTCATAAAAAGTGAGTTTGAGTACTGTGTAGTTTCTTGGAAAGATAGTTTGGGTAGTGTAAAGGTTTTTTGGAAAGTAAGTTTGGGTAATGTATAGGTTCTTGGAAAG